TTTTAATATTAGTTCTCGTCTACACCCCATCACCCCATTCTCCTTATGACACTCCCATCTAGAGAGAGGGAAAGTCCCCTTCATTGCTGCAAAATGAAGATTGTTACAGCATCTGTGAAAAGCATTCTGTCAGGACCTCTTAATAAAGTTTATGATTGGGGAAGGATAATTCCACATCTGGGAATTAACCTACTAAAATATGGTGTCATTCCAAAAATACAATTGTCATTCCAAATGACAATTATAAAATATAATACTGCTAGAGGATTTAAAACAATACTAGAGGGCGGTTGGGCCCAATGATTTAAACAGGGTAAATGTCCATCAATATTATTGTGTTGCTTTGAAATTGTGTCTATCCCTTCTGCAGAACACTCTGCAGCCATTAGAAAAACTTCCCTTGATAAGGCAGGATTACTCCTTCAGAGTCCCCTGATGGGCATTTATGTGACAAAAGAAAGCAGTCATTTGGTCGACATATAGACAAAATCTATTCTGTGTAAGTAAAAAAGATTTATATGATCAGGAATTCATTATACTTTGAGAAAAATCATTCCTCTTTTCCTGTTACCTTAAACTCTTTCACTATCTTATTTCAAATATGTGTATTTGTATTTTTTTTAAGATTTAGTTTATTTATTTATGCATACAAGAAATAGGGTGTAGGCCAGAGGTCCTGGGGGTGAGAGGATTCACCAGAGACAGAGTGGGGAGCAGAACAGGCAGATCTACTGAAATACACTGCTGAGGGGAGCAGTGGCAAGACAGAAGAGGGACACAGGGGTGTAGTTGCCTTTCCTTTAGGATCTTGGTCTGACGTGGGGTCAGGGGGATGCTGACCACATAGAGTGTGATATATTGTGTCCCTGCAAGATCTTTGAAGATTTTTTTTAAAGATTGGCATCAATACACTTTATTTAATCATTGGACAGAATCTACCCTGTAGCCATCAGAGTCCGGAGTTTTCTGGGACAAGTTGGATGCATTCTCCAAACTAGCCTTCATCCCTTCTGATATCTCGGCTCTTGTCTCATGGGCTGAATCCAGCGTAGCCACACCCATAAACCCCACCCAGTGACCCCCACCACCCCCACCCCAGAGGGATCTGCCAAACACCCCAGCACAGAAAGATGAGACTGGGCAGTGAGTCAGCATGTTCTAGAAACCTTGCTCCTGAGCATGGTATGTGTGTGTGTCACATGTAAATATGAAGAATTCCTCCTCTTTCTCATTATAATTTGTCCTCATTTCACACTTTATAAACAAAGTATTTTCATTAACTTCATAAACTCTTTCCCTTATTATCTGGTTGATATATTGTATCTGTGAAAGGATTTTGTGTTTTGAGATAGTGTCAGCATCACATTTTCCCTACTACACAAGTGGACATGAGTTACCCCTCAGTGGACTGTCATAGAGATAGTTTCCAGGAATCAGGGGAGTCTCTATGTGAGGGGAACATGCACACAGGTGAGACTGTGGTACCCAGGTAGGAGGAGAGGGGACCCTGATGGAAACCATGCGCAAGAAAAGCTGAATAGTGTAATTTCAGAAGTCATTCAGTTCCATTAACAATCAGGCAATGGAGGTAGATCAGTGATTTTTGGGATTCAGGGAGACCTCTGGCATCTATTCTAGATGCAGCCGAGTGATAAGGAAGCAGCCGAGTGATAAGGAAGCAGCCAGTGCTCATGAGAGAGAATACAAATTGCCAAGACCAAGGAACCTGCACAGGAAGTGGAGGAACACACAGATTGCAGATAAACCATTCAGGGCTTCTTGAAAATGTTCTCTTTCTAGGATTATCAGACAACTACTATTAAAGAAACAGATGCTACTAAGTACATTGTAAGTGCTCCGTAGCCACATGGGCATGTGGTCAGCATATTGGACAGCACAGGTGAACACACTTTTATAGTTACAGATAGTTCTGTAGTTCAGTAAAGCTCGAAATGTTTCACATGGTGGCTCAGGTGTCAAGCTCAGCCCATGAGCCCCCTGCTGTGTGGTGACGCCCCCTGCTGGCCCATCTGCTGTGATCCCAGTTGTCCTGGAATGTTTCTGGAAGGACATATGAGCCTAGATTGACATATTTAGACCAGGAGTCCTCTGCTGGTAGTATCATCCAGCCCATGATAGTACTGTGGTTCCCTCCTGCCCACACACTCTTTTCCAAACCACTTCTTTGGCATCTCAGGTGATCACAGCAGCTGGTCCCTACAGTCTTGTCACAAATATAGTATTGCAGCTTTCTACACACCTGTTAGTCTTTCATATTCAACTAGATGATGGGTTTTTGAGAAGAGAAATCAGTTTGTGTTCCTTATCAGTCCAGCCTGTGTTCCCAAGCAATGACACCAGCTTCCAGAGAAACTTCAGCCTCCCAAACCTGCTGTATCACAGATCAGCCAGTAGAGGGCACCAAACACAAGTAAACACAAGACTCAGACTGATGTCAGGACTCCTGATATGGTAAGAGGGAGGCTGCCCCAGTTTCTACAGGGAGCCCCTAAGGTTTGTTTGGCTCTCTGGAGATGGGGACACCTGGGAAGTGCCAGTTTATGTGTGTGAGCAAACCTGCCCTGTGTCTGTGCTTTATGTTGAAAGCAGCTGAGCCCTCCCCGCTGCCATGGCTATGTCCCCAGAGCCATCCCCACCCTCTCTGCACCAGGGTCAGCCTCAGGGGGCACCTCAGGGACATGGGGCTCCAGCTTTGCTCCTTTCTACTGCTGTTCTTTCTCTCTGAGGGAGAACACCTCGGACTTCATCCTTAGCTAGTTTGCAAAAAATGAGATATTTACTTGAAGATGAAGCTTCTAGTTTACTCTGTATCCTGAACTTAAGTAAATCTGAGTGAATGAATTACCCAATGGGTTTTGGTGTTTGGGAATGTTCACATTTACTTCCACACTTAGATGTCAGTGGGGACATTGTATAGGCCCAGCTCCAGATCCCTGCGTCTTAGAAGAGGGTTATTGTCACCCACGTGGCCAGCCAGAATGTTAACTGTTCCAGCATGAAATCAGCAAAAGCAGAATTAGGTCCCAGGATCCTTCTCTCTGGTGATTCCCCGGGACATGGTACCTGCCAGGGGCAGGGACTGTGGGTCTGGACATGATCCTCTACTCATCAGAGGCCGAGCTGCCCAAGCACCCTGGTCCTATCGCCTGTCTGGGGCTAAATCCCCCCAGGTGTTCCGCCTGGCCTGGGGTGGCTCTGGACTCTGAGATCTTCTCAGGGGAGCAGGCCTGGACAGACAGCTCTGCAATCACATCCCCTTTCTTTTTCTCCCTCTCTCCCTCCTCCTCTATCAGCCACCTAGTTCATCTCCTCTGCACCCCTGAGTGGAGGCTGCAGTGTGCCTGGACCCACCTCCTATTCTTAGTCCTCCCCCGCCTTCCAGGTCATCCTGCTTCACACACAGGCTGAGGTGCGTCAGATTAAGGCCCTGGAGAGTCTCCCCATGCGGCCCTCTGCTGTCCTGAGGCTCTGCCTCCTCCTGTGCAGGGTCATGTTGGGAGGGTGGGGGTGGGAACAGGATGCACAGTAGGATGTGCTCAGAGGCCACACATGGGGGCAGACACAGCATTGAGGGCAGCATCCTGGGAGCAGGAGAAGCAAAGGGAGCTGGGCAGGGAGACCCCGCCTCACCCTGAGACTTGAGCTGCTGTCTCCTGGGACCTGGAGGAGATGTGGCAGTGGGGGAACGTGCAGGTGCAGGGACACAGCAGACTCCAGGGATCACTGAGGAGTTGGTCTGGGAGGACCTCAGCTCGGAATGGAGCACCTGGGGGAAGGAGGATGAAGGACATGAGCTACAGTCCAGGGAGACCGGGGCGTGTGCTTGGTTCTGTGTGATGACACAGAGCTGGGTAGGGAGGAGACTGTCATATGTGGGGGAGAACACCCTGACCTTGGATGGAGGATGGAAGGTGGGACAGGACCTCAGACGTGGTGGGGACACAAGGCTCAGCTGGAGATGAGGTCAGCATGGAAGATGCTCAGTGACTGGGCACTTATAACTCCTGACACCACACATTTTATTGCCCTTTTACCTGCATCTTAGGCTGGTGGTGATGATAATTTCTCATACCATGAATATCAGGGAAAGAGAGCAAATAGGAGGTCTTGCTGGCCTCATTAATGTCCACATAATCAATTAAGAGAAACCTGTACAATTATTTCTAGAGTTTTCTTTTGAAAAAGTATCATATGGAAAGACAGTAAATAAATAAGTTGAAACTCTTTTAATAATATATATTAAAGTCTGTAATGCTGGTTAGTAACATTGTATGATTGAGGGGCAGGTTCACAAATGCACCTTATCACACCACCACCCCCACCAGACTCCCATAATCCCCACGAAGGTTGATTGCCATACTCTCTACTCCTCATCCCAGCCTCTCCCTCTGGTGGCGTCAATCCTGCTATCAGATGTCTAGTTTTGTTTTAGTTCACTTCTGTCTGTTCCTTTGTTTGCTATATCCACGTGTGAATGAAACCTTCCAGCATTAAGTCTTTTTTTCTTCTGATCTATTTTACTTAGCATAATACCCTCCATTTGCACCCATGTGGTGGCAAATGTCCAGATTTCATCGTTTTTAATAGTTGAGTAATAATATATTGTATATATATACAACAGCATCTTTTTATGCCACTGATATTAAAGAGATGAAGACCAAACTGTATTCTCAAGGCAATGGGCTGACTCTAAGTTTCTATACCCAGCCCAGAAGAAACACAGTCTTCACAGGCAAATTTTCCCTGCCCAGGGGAAACTGGTCATTGGGGAATCCTGCTTCTGTGCTGTCTCTGAGATAAACTGCTCTGTGCTCTCAGGCCCCTGCTGGTTGGAGGAGGAGTCAACCCTGCAGCTGTGCCCAGCCTGCCCCACCCTGCTCATTTGCATCTTTCCAGGCCTCAGTCCACCTCCCTGGAGACTTATTAGTAGGCCGGTCACAGCCTGTGAGAGTCAGTCCTAGTCAGGACCCAGCGTGGACATGAAGGCCCCCACTCAGCTCCTTAGCTTCCTGCTGCTCTGGCTCCCAGGTGAGGAAGGAAACACCAGGAGTTGAGCAGCTCCAGGTGGGCAGAACCTCTGGCCCTCAGGGAAGTCCTCTGAAGACATGATGACAGTGTGGGTGTGTTTTCTGTTTCCATCCAGGAGCCAGGTGTGCCATCCAGATGACCCAGTCTCCACCCTCTGTGTCTGCATCTCCAGGAGACAGAGTCACCATCTCCTGCCGGGCCAGTCAGGGTATTAGCAGCAGGTTAGCCTGGTATCAGCAGAAACCAGGGAAAGCTCCTAAGCTCCTGATCCATAATGCAAACAGTGTGCAGCCTGGGGTCCCATCCCGCTTCAGTGGCAGTGGCTCTGGGACAGATTTCACTCTCACCATCAGCAGCCTGGAGCCTGAAGATGCTGCCACTTACTACTGTCAGCAGCATAACAGCTACCCTCCCACAGTGACACAAGCCTGAACAAAAACCACTCAGGGAGCAGATGTGTGAGGCTGGGCAACCCCAGCTGCTCCTCCTGGTGCCCCATGTGCTGAGAGCTGTTCTCGCATGCAGCTCTACCTTGATGGAGTCTGGAGTTTTCTGTTAGAAAACTCTTTCAAACATTGAACATTTCATACCAGAGATATTGACATTTCCTTATAACACAAGACCACAATACATAAGAAAGAATGTTCTTGGTATTGTATATTTCAGGAAAATTTAGAATGAGGACACAATGCCATGGCATGTAACCACCATTACAGCATCTGAAGAGCAGTTTCACTGCCCTGAAATTGCTCTGAGCCCCACCTGTTTCCCCACTTCCTCCCAATGCCTGAAACCACTGATGTTTTCACTGCCTCCCTGGTGCCTCCCTGGGGTTGCTTTTTCCAGAATGCCCAGTGGATGGAGCCACACAGAATGCAGCCTGTTTCACACGGGCTTCCTCACTTACATATGCACGTATGATCTTACACGTCCTGTCATGGCTTAGCTCGTTCGTTCCTTTGCAGCGCTGAGGATGCTACGTTGTCTGGGAGTGTCACTGTCAATTTGCCCTCCGGCTGAGCTGCTTACATAATTTGCTGCTGTGTCTGTTAAGAAGGACTTTGGCTTAATGCTTTTTTGGGTTGTATGTTCTCGTATAGTTGAGTTTGAAGAATTCTTTGTATATAATGAATAATGGTCCCCTATCAGATTGGATTTTCCAAACTTTTATCTTGGTGTTTCTTGTCAGGACTGGTTTTAATACAGAAAGTTAGAATTTAAACTAGAATCTTTTAATGGACTAGGGTGGTGTGTGGTCAGGGAGGCAGATAATATTAATAGAACTGGGGATCCTCTCTTGCTCCCCCAGAAACCAGAGCACATCTTCCATATCTGCTGTTTGGTCTCTGATCATGTGGAGCAAAGAAAGGGAAATAAAAGAGAAAAGGGAGACTCTGTGGTGGCGCAAAGGGTTAAACACTGCACTATGAAGCAATACGCAGCCTCTGCAGTGCGAGTTCGATCCCTGGCCGGTCAGTGAGAAACCCACATGGCGCAGCAGACCTCTCCTGACTTGCCCACTGCTCAATCTGCCTGTTCTGTTCCCCACTCTGTCTCTGGTGAATCCTCTTACCCCCGACACCTCTGACCTGTACTCCAGCTCTTTTATGCATAAATAAATACATCTTCAAAAAAAGAGAGAGTGAGCAAAGGGCATTTCTCCATTTCTCCAAAAGGGTGCACCTCCGTGTGTCTGCATGTACCCATTGTTCCTCATATTTGTTGTTGATGAATAACAATGATCTTTACTTCTTTGGAAAAAAAAAAATTTGGTTCTTGTGATAAGGAGAGTTTCTAAAAAAAATGATGTGCACAGCAAATCCCATAGGGGAATCAGGCACAATATCTCAGCCTGGTTGCTACCAGGCAACCCAGAAAGAGCTCCCAGATCAGTTTCAGCAAGTTTTTAGTTTTGGATACAATTACTGAAGTGTAAACTATTTGGAAAACTCCACAATTTGACTTTGCACTCCATGTTCACAGATCATAATGATGGATGTCCTGGTCATTATTCATTATCTACAAGAAAGTTAGACACAGTTTTTAGATTCACTATTTTGATTTTTTTAATTGGATTTTTAAATTTTACCTACTTATAGGTTCAGTGACTGCACACTCTGGGGTGGGGGTGCAACTGAAATTCTCAGTAGATTTTTATCCTCTTCTGAATTTTGCTCCAAATTATGCATTTTCCTAATTTCTGAAGTTGGTAATAAATACTATGGGCATGTTTAACCAAGTTGTGCCATTCTTTCCCTCTCTTTCTCTGTCTCCGTAGTGTTAATCAGGGACACATTTTGTCAACCTTTCTCTATGTTCATTTTTCATTTTGCTCTATGAATTTTAAAAGCTATTTTTTACTGAAAGTTAAATCTTTACCATTAAAAAAGAAACTTTACTGATCTGTAAATATATGTATGTTTTCACCAAATAACCAAAAGTTTCTAGAGGTAATATTTCCTTGCACAGATTACTAAATTTAGTTATTATAATGGAATCTGAATTACATCTAGAGCACGAGGACACCAGTATGTGAGAGACCCAAAGATTCCCTGAGCTGAGAAGGGTCTTAATTTCTGAAGGTAAGGACATGAGACATGAGGAAGATCAGCCAACTGAGTTTCAGTTATTAATTTATTATTTATTTATTTATTTCTGCAAGACTTGGGTTACAGGCCAGAGGAACAAGGGCAGGGGGTGGGGTGGTGGTGGTGATTGGACCTGCCAGAGACAGAGCGGGGAACAGAACAGGCAGACCTACTGAAGTAGACTGTTGAGGGGAGCAGCAGGCAAGACAGGAGGGGTGTCTGTGCCAGGTGGGCAGCTACCCATCTTGCCTGGGACCCAACCTGAGCTGCAGAGGCAGCAGACAGCCCCACAGTGTTGCATCTACCCCCCTGCACCAACAGGAAGCCCCCAACTGTGTTTCTAACAAGTGATAAGAGACTCTGCTTCTCTGTTTTGACTTCATAATCATGCCTGGGGCTGCTCCAATGAGCTCTAATTGACTTGATTTGAATTCATTTATTATTGGTCAGAAGGAGAATAGAGTCATGAGAAAATAGAAAAGTCAGGCATATAAATCTCCATCTTCTCACAGTGTTTAGAGAATGTATGAACTCAGGTGGTGCCCACATCCACAGAGACTTTCCTGAGCACTCAGTAAATCAGAATATGTATCCAGCACTTCCTCTCAAGAGGGTGATTCTCTGAGGGACTGGGTCCCTGAAAGAGGTTTGTCCTTATATATGTGCTGCACTACACACACACACACACACACACACTATACACATACACACTACACACACACATACACACACAGAGATTACATCATTGTTCTTCAACAAAGAAAGGAAGACCTGTAAATAGTTTCTGGCATTTTTGTTAACTGAAGGAGATTAGTTTCCAGCATTCTTAGATAACTGCCACAGGAGAAGCTCTGCCGAAGTCTTGAAGGCACCCCTTGATCTTACAAAGTCTATTCAGTCAGAGCTTTCTGTGTTTGGGAACATAAGGACCAAAGGTTATTTGAATCTCTAGTCCTCAAGAAGTACCCATGAGGTGTGAGGGCATGGTCAGGTGTTACCTCAGGTCCTTCCAGTCACCATCTAACACTTGCAACCACCATGTTACACAGGTGAGTGAGGAGCAGTTGTTAGAATAAAGAACAAGTGAAGCAGATGAGAGAACTAAATCAAACAGAAACAAACCCGAGGACTATAAACCAATGAGTAGTTGCCAGAAAGAAAGGAAGGTGGGTCATCAGGACAAAGAGGACAATTGTGTGTGGAGGATAGAAATGGACCTTTAGTGCTGAACTTAATGTAGCACACACGATGATTTCCAGTGGTAAACGCCTGAAATGTAAGAAGTTATAACACAATGTTATAGCAAAATAATGATAATAATAATTGGAATAACAACAAAAGAGAAACCACCCAATGTTGTCTTTCATTTCTAGCCTCACCAAGGCCGAATACCTGACCTAATAGTAGTTTCAGTCTCTCCCAAAAGTGGCAATTTAAAATAGCCAATCAGGGGTTACTTCGATGACAAGCCCCCCTGCTTTCCCCTGATGGAGGTGGCTTTTCCTTATTTATTTTTTTACTTGTCCCACCATCTTTCCAACTATAATATCGTCCATTTTGAGTAACTTTTTGAAACACATGTGCACTTTCTAAAAGGGATGCTGACTGGTTTGTCAGTCATTTAATCAAACCAATTAGAGCTATAGAGTTTAATGATGTTGGATTCTTGCTTTTAACAAACACATACCAGAGAATTCTTGAAATAGCTCCAGCCCATGATGGCATTGGGAGGAAACTGTGATGACAGGCAATTTGAACGGCTAGGAGGAGAGGGAAAAACAGGAAGGTAGGGGCTCAGAAGATGGGGAGATTAAGTTTTCCAGCATTTGATATTTATTGTAAATTTAAGACTTGAGAATGAGACTTGAAACAATGATAGTGCTGAAAGGAAAAAGCAAGAGGTCCCTGGGGAGCAGGTCTCAATCTCTTGCAGGGCCAGTCAGAGCTTCAGTCCATGATGGTATTGGGAGGAAACTGTGATGATGGGCAATTGAGTGGCTGTAGAGGCGGGGAGGGGGAGCAGGGAGTAGTTTAGAGTTAGTTAAGAGAGTCAACAGAAGACTCTAAAATGAAGGATGCTCTGGGCTGGCAGGGCTGCTCTCTGTCTAGTCCTATCCCTGTACCTGGGCCAGCCTCTCACAGCCAGATCCTCCCAGCACCACTGCAGGAGCACGGACTCCACCACATACATTTCCTCAACACAGCGAGGATATTGTCTTCACTCTCCTCACAAGAACTCCCCTACCCTTTTTGGTGCTCTCCCCCAGCTGCCTCCCACCAGGCATTTATATGAGGGTCCCCAAGGAGGAGCTGCCCTTGCAAGTCTGAGCTAAAAGGCCAGCTCTGATCTTGCCTTGACTCAGGGGGCTCCTCAGTTCAGCTTCTCAAAACGAGGTTCCCTGCTGAGCTGCTGGGGCTGCTGCTGCTCTGGACCCCAGGTAAGGCAGAGGGGAGGGGAGAAGTGTCAGGGGGGTGAGGTAGCTGAATCAGGGTAAGCACTCCCGTGTAGTCTGTACACTTTTTTAGATTCAAAAGACTCAGTATCTGAGGAGTAGGAAGAGTGTTTAAAGCTGTGAAAATTAGGTGGATGTGATACTGGGAAGCTCTGCTCCAGTGAGAACTAGGGGGCGCATGTAGGAGAATTCCAGGGACCTCCGTGTGCTTTACAAATCTAATTTGAAAGTAGATATTTGGGGTGTCAAATGATGCAAAAGGCGATGTAGTGTGAAATAATTATCACAGGGAAATCATGTAAACGGCTCATAATATTTGAGTACAACTTGTATTTTCCCTCTTGTTACTTTAGCTTCCAGTGGGGAGGCTGTGCTGACCCAGACCCCACTCTCCCTGCCCATCGTCCCTGGGGAGCAGGTCTCCATCTCCTGCAGGGCCAGAGCTTCGTACATAGTGATGGAAACACCTATTTGCATTGGTTGCAGCAGAAGCCAGGCCAGTCTCCAAGGCGTCTGATCCATAAGGTTTTCAACAGGGACACTGGCAGGTTCAGTGGCAGCGGGTCAGGCACAGATTTCACCCTGAAGATCAGCAGGGTGGAGGCCGAGGATGTTGGAGTCTATTACTGCGGGCAGGGTACACATACTCCTCCCACAGTGGTTGAGCCCTGAACAAAAACGTCCCTGTTCAGCAGCTCCAGCTGCCCACACATGCTGCTTCTCTGGCATACTATGTTCTGCCCCACAAAACATAATTAGATAATATCACCTCATGATGAACAAGGCTAATATACTGGCTAAAATATACATTTTTTTTGACTGATTGCTTACTTGCTTATACAAGTAGTTCCAATTACCACAATTTTTGGATATCCCATAACACCCCAAGGTGAAAGGATTCATTTCTGTCCATGAAAACCTTGAGCCCAGCAACAAGAAAAACAATTTGCCGATTGGGTTACTATGAGTAGTGACTAGAAAGGCTGTTTCTCATCCTTTCTCTTGGCTTCCAATCCCATGAATACTTGCTATTCAGCCCATCATTTCAACAGTTAGGATACATCTTTAAGGAAAGTTTCCAACAAATGCACCGTAGCCTACCTTTTATGTGAGGATCGTTTTATTCCATGTCATGGCTTTATTATTACATGTACTTCATTACAAAATAGGCTCCTGCTTCTGAAAACCCCTATATTGGTAAATTATCAACTCTGTGAAACCTCAAATGGTGAGGTCAGCTGAGATTCTTCAGTGGGTAGGAGAGTCTTAAGTACAACCAGAATATAATAAATTCCATTAAAGATGAATCTGGACTTGGGGAAGTGACCTGATTGTATACAAGATTTCCCCAGTGACTGTTAGGGTTAGTCCCTGGTGCTGAGAATTCATATCCAGACAGGATGATAATTAACTGACCCTGGCAGAGATGGCATCTGTAAGCTCAAGTCACTGGGCATAAATATAGCCTCCATCCTTATCATCATGGTCACACAATTCACAAACATTGTACAAATACTGTGGTGTCTGATACAGAGTCAGGGGTCAACTAATCTAATCAGAGGGTGGTATTTGGTATCTCAACTGGCCATTCTCTGCTGAACTGTGACATGGGACTTCTGCTTTCTTAGTGCCACTTGCATAAGGTATATCCATAGGCCTTTCTCCCAGGTCTCTTGATCTCTGATCTTCCAACTACTTACAGGCCCTTGATTATCCTGTTGTGTGGGATCCTTGTAAGCCTTCATATCAGGCCAGTTCTCTATCTACAATAAATGGTTGACCTGTGCACTGATTAAATACCTGCTAACTCACCATTGTGTTTCAGAGTCTCTGCATTACATTGTTGCTGTTTTGTGTGTTACCATTTATCAGAGGTAGGTCACTGCCCTTTGGCAGGATGGATTCCAGCAGGTGCTGCTCTGGACCCAGGGTTCTGTGTCTTTGTATTCGGTGCTCTGCTTCCAGCTGAGAAAAGAAACTTGGGGTGTCCATATGACAGTGCACGGGCTCCATGACGCTGAGAGTGGGACCTCTTTTCAGCCACTGCAACCATCACAGCCCCTTTTGATCAGCCAGTAAGACTTTACTGGGGAGATGATCAGGTGGGACACAGAAACCATGGGTTGTTTTTGTGTTCAGGATCCAAACCTGAACCTAGAAGTAGGAAAAAAAAATAGGAAAAGTTCCCAAAAGCTAGCAGATGCGTCATCCACCTTGATCACACCACACCCCACATTTTGTATACCTGCTGTATAACAGTCTCTGTGCTTGACAATTAACAGCCTAGTTTTCCTGATGATATTCCTGAAAATTAATTTATAAAGCTGCATCCTGTGAATTCTAACCTTACATGGCTCTATGAATTTAACTTAGAACTAATTGTAATTAGAAATTTAGCTCTTCAGTTGCTACAGGTATATTTCACATGCTGAATAGTCAGTGATATGATAATAATATCCATGTTGGACAGCACAAATGTATACATTTTACAATTAGAGATAGTTCTGTTGTTCAGTAAGGTCTAAATGGTTACACTATCACTCATGGTGTCCTTGCTCAGAGCACAAGTCTCACCAGTTGCCTGCGGGTGCCACCCCACGGGTGCAATTTTGTGGTTTTCAGAACTGCTCTGGGATGTTTCTCTGAGGAGGGAGGAATAGGGTTGAGATCTAAACCAGGAGTCCTCTGCTTCCTGCCTCACATCCCTCTTGTACCTGTCGGCCCCCTTCTGGTCACCCCCTCTTTTCCAAACCAGGTTTTGGCTTATCAGTGATCACAGGACCTAGTCCCTGCAGACTTGTCACCAACATGGTATGAACACTTCTTACCCATCTATTAGTCTTTCATCTTCTACTCCGACTGCTTTTTAAGAAGAGAATCTATTTGTGAGCCTGCGTGGTCTGATCCCTAAGAAAAGTACTGGCATCATGACAAATATCAAAAAGTCTCATACCCTGAGTGGGGACCACATAGAAAATCCTGTAAGCTGCTATATCACAAAACGGGCACTAACGCCACTGTAAACCTCAGACTCAGGCCTGACTTTAGAAACACTGTCAGGGTAAGAGGGAGGCTGTCCTAGTATCTACAGGGAGGTGCTAATGTTGGGATGCATCTCTGGGGGACAGACACCTGGGGGAGCTCCAGTATATATGTCTGAGCAAACCTGCCAGTGTCTGTGTCCTGTGTCTGCAAGTGGCTGAGACCTCCCAGCTGCCACAACTCTGTCCTCAGAGCCACCCCCACCCATCTGAGCAGGGTCAGCCTCAGGAGGCAACTCAGGAACATAGGGACCCCATTTCTAAACTTCTTTCTCTTGCTGGTCTGACTCTGCTGAGCAATGAGGACATAGTCTTCATTAGGAACACCTGTGGACCCCATCTCCAGCTCCTTCCCTGACCCCAGAAGAGGGTCAATGTGACCCTCATAATCAGCCTCAACATTGTTCAACCTGAAATCAGCAAAAAGCAGAACCAACCCTGAGTTCCTAATTTCTTGTCCTGGCCCTGACATGGTGCTTGTTAGCACAGGCAGCGGGTTTGGATACATGTCTCTCACCATCAGGAGTCTGACCTTCCTCTATAGGAGCAAACACTCCTTGCATGTCATATTCTTGCCTGGGACCTGTGTTGTCTCTGGGAACTTGTCAGAGATTTAAGGCTGTGAGATAATCTTCGGTCTTATCCCCCCTGTTCACATCCCTCCTTCCTCCTTCCTCCATCAGCCCAACACCCCTCAGCTCCACACAGAGCATGTCCCTGCACCCCTGAGTGGAAGCTTCAGTGTGTCTGGTCCCACCTCCTTTTCTGAGTCCCCCCAGGTCAGCCTGTTTCATACACAGGCTGAGGCGCCTCAGAATGAGACCATGGAGAGTCTCACCATCCTGCCCTCTGCTGTCCTGAGGCTCTGCCTCCTCCAGGAATCCCGTGCAGGAGGGTGGGGGTGGAAATAGGACACACAGTAGGATGTGCTCAGAGGCCGCACATGGGGGCAGACATGGCATGGAGGGCAGTGTTTTGGCAGCACGAGAAGAGAAGGCAGCTGGGTAGGGAGAACTTGCCTCACCCTGAACTAGAGCTGCTATCTTCTGGGATCTGGAAGAGACATAGCAATGGGGGAATGTGCAGGTGCAGGGACACAGTAGACTCCAGGGATCACTGAGGAGTTGGTCTGGGAGGACCTCAGTTCAGAAGGGAGCACCTGGTAGGGGGTGAGGATGAAGGACATGAGCTACAGTCCAGGGAGACCAGAGCGTGTGCTCGGGTCTGTGTGATGACACAGCTCTGGGGAGGGAGGAGACTATCAGATATCGGGGGAGAACACCCTGACCTTGGGGCCAAAGTGTACCTGATGGGACAGGGCCTCAGACATGGGGTGGGGGGGACAGGGCTTAGCAACCCCTGACAGTTTTTATTGCCCTTCTATATCAATGCATTTCTCTCTAATAGTGAAGGCAGTTTCTCACACAGACTATCCTTTAATTATAGCTTAAAGGAACCCTCTTTGACAACCGTAATATTCACACAATCAAAATATGTTAATACAATTTCTTTCCCTGCCTCTTTGCTGTCACTGAGATCAGCCCCTGCAGCTGTGCCCAAGGCCCCGCCCCTGCTCATTTGCATGTTTCCAGAGCACAGCCCCTCCCTCCACACTATTCATAGTCTGCCCCAGCCCCTGAGGGTCAGTCCAGTCAGGACCCATCTGGACATGAGGGCCCCCGCTCAGCTCCTCAGCCTCCTGCTGCTCTGGCTCCCAGGTGAGGAAGGAAACACCAGGAGCTCATCAGCCCCGGGTGGGCAGGACCCCTGGCCCTCAGGGAAGCCCTCTGATGACATGATTAACATGTGCTTTTACATTCCCATCTCAGGGGCCAGGTGTGACATCCACCTGGCCAGTCTGGCTCATCAGAGATGAGCCAGTCTCCACCCTCCGTGTCTGCATCTCCAAGAGACAGAGTCACCATCTCCTGCCGGGCCAGTCAGGGTATTAGCAGCAATTTAGCCTGGTATCAGCAGAAACCAGGAAAAGCTCCTAAGCTCCTGATCTATTATGCAAACAGTGTGCAGCCTGGGGTCCCATCCCGCTTCAGTGGCAGTGGCTCTGGGACAGATTTCACTCTCACCATCAGCAGCCTGGAGCCTGAAGATGCTGCCAATTACTGCTGTCAGCAGCATGATAGCTACCCTCCCACAGTGACACAAGCCTGAACAAAAACCACCCAGGGAAGCAGATGTGTGAGGCTGGGCAGCCCCAGCTGCTCCTCCTGGTGCCCCATCTATGGAGGCGGCATCTCAGATGTCATCACACAATGAAGAACTGGAAGGTTCTGGTAGAAGGGCCAGGCAGGGAGACTACTCTTCTCTTTCTCCTCCTTAGACCAGCAGAACAAACATGTCAACATTTCTGCTGATTTAATAAAGACAGATATGATTACTCCCTAACTGTCTGCTTGTGAGATCACTCAGGATCATACAGTAGGAGAAGAATCAATATAGGTATTTTGAGCAAGACCTTTCTTTTACAAATTACTTTTTTTAAAGAGTATTCTTAGGTTACCGGAAAAAATTAGCAAAATGTATGGAAATCCCATAGCAACCTTGCCCCACACAAAAGTAATATACCATCTTTTCTGCTTTCAATCTCCCCCACCACAATGGTACATGTGTTATAATTGATGAACCCAAACCTGTAGTTTACAAGAGGAGTCACACCTGGTAGGATTTGGACAAATTGACAATGACATGTGTCCACCATGACCGTGTCCTACAGAGCAGTTTCACTGACCTCAATATCCTCCACCAGTTGACCCTTCCCTCCAGCCCCTGACACCACTGATGTCATTACTGTCACCTTCCCCTTCAGATGGAATCACATGGCATGGGGCTTTTCTCAGATTGACTTGCCCCCTTAAATTGAAATTCTTCCATATCCTTTCACAGCTTATAAACTCATTTCTTTTTAGTGCTGAATAATGTCCCATTTTCTGGATGTGTCATAGTTTATATGTTTACCACAAACTGAGGGATCCTGGACACTCCCAAGTTCTGGCATTTATGAATAAAGCACCATAAACACTGTGAGCAGATTTTATGGGACACCAGCTTCACTGTTTGGGGTAAATATCAAGGAGTCCACTCGCTGGATCATATGGTAGAGGAGGTTTCATCTTGTAAGAAGCTTACAATCTGTGGTCAAAGTGCCCCTGCGTCCTCACAGCAGGTATGGAAGACTCCTGCACCCCACTGCCAGCCCAGGGCAGAGCTGTGCTCTAGATTCAGGCCTCCCAGCAGGGCTACATTGTGTGTCACCACTGATTTTGTTGCAATTCCTGATGACATGTGAGGTGGAGCATCTATTCATATGCTGATTCAAGAGTGGTATTACTTCTTGGTGGGGTATCTCTGAAGGACATAGGTCCAATTTTGGGGGGTTTTCTTTGTTCTCTTATTGTTGAGTCTTCAGAATTTTTTATATATATTAAATAATAGTCCTGTATAAGATGTCTTTCACCAATTTTTTTCTATTTGTGTTTCCTGTTAGGAATTGTTTTACTACAGGGAGTTAGAATTTAATGCACAGTCTCTTAATAGACTGTAGGGGATTAATCAGGGAGGCAAATACTAGAAATGGTGATTTTCTGTTGTTTCCCTAGAAGCCAGAACACATCATCTACTGGATGGATAAGTTGCCTGCTCTTGTGGTCTTCAGATCTTTCTGGAAAGCCCAAGTTGGGGAACTGGCGCTCTAGCTTGTATGACTTTCCAGACCTCACCTTGTCCTTCTCTACCTGCAGGTGTGATATGTCCCAACTTTTCCCCTACCTGTTGGTGGGTTATTTCCATACTGTGAATGGAGAGAATGCAGCTATTTCTGATAACCTAGTCTCACTTTTTTGCATTTATGCTCATAATTAGAATGACTGAATCAAATGGCAGTTCTATTTGCAAGTTTTTGGAGTAACTCCACCTATTTTTCCAGAGTGGTTTCATCAGTTTACTTTGCCACCAACTATATGTAAGGGTTTTTTGATGATAGTCCATAAAAGGGTGCAGTGATATCTCACTGGGGTTTTGATTTACATCTCCTAATGATTAGTGATATTGATCATGCTCTCATGTAAATAGGGTTGATGCTTCGTATATGCTCTTTGAAAAGACACCTGTACAGTTCCACTATTTTTAATCAAATTGTGTTTTTTCTTGTTACTGAGTTGTATGAACTCTTAATAGATCTGGTATATTACACTTTTATCCAATATGTGACTTGCAAATACTTTCTCCTAGTCCATAGGTTACCTTTTCACTTGATTGATTACTTCTTTTTTGTGAAGCTTTTTAGACTGATGTGGTTCATTTCCTGATTTTTGCTTTTGTTGCTTGCACTTTTGTTGACATCTCCAAAAACTCATTGTCACTGTTAAGCAGTTTTTTCCCTAATTTTTCCTGTAGGAGTTTTATTCTTTTACATAAGTCACTCTTACATTACTTATTTAATTCATTTCAGATTAATTTTGTGAGTGGTATAAGATTGGGATCCAATTTTATTTTCAGCAGGTGGTCATCCAGTTTTCCCAATAACATTTGTTGAAGAGACTCTTCTGCCCATTGAGTGTTCTTGGCTCCTTGAAGCTAATTAACTACATATTTGGAGGTTTATTTCTGGATTCTCTACTGTTCCATTGGTCTAAGTGTCTGTTTTTATAGCAAATACCATAAAGGACACTCAAGGCTGACTGGTCTCACTCTCTGTCCAGTCCTGTCCCTTGCAACTGGATAAGACACTCACACATAGATTATCCTCCCGGCACCACTGCAGGAGCAAACATTTCCCCACTTACATTTCCTCCAAAGAGTGAGGATATTGTGTTCTCTCTCCTCCCAAGAGGTTCCTGTGTCCCCCTTTGGGCTCTCTCCACCCAGCTGGCCCCAGGGCATTTGCATGAGGGTCCCCAGGGAGGAGCTGCCCTTGCAAGTCTGAGCTAAAAGGCCAGCTCTGATCTTGCCTTGACTCAGGGGGCTCCTCAGTTCAGCTTCTCAAAATGAGGTTCCCTGCTGAGCTGCTGGGGCTGCTGATGCTCTGGACCCCAGGTAAGGCAGAGGGGAGAGGAGAAAGGTTATGAGGTGGAGAGGCTGAGCCCAGGGTGACCACACCTGTGTATTCTATACACACTTTCAACACATATGTCTGTTTCTGGAAAGCAGCAAGAAATATTCAAAGCTGTGAGAATTAGAAAGTCTTACTACCAGAGACCTGTGCTCCAGTGAGCACAGAAAGAGGGAAAGGTTGTAGTAGAATTCTAACCCCCCTCACCACATAGGCCTTAAAATTTGTTTTGAAAGTGGTTATTTTTGGTGTCAATGTCACATAAAAATGATACAGTATGAAATAATTAGCAAAGGACAATCATAAAAAGGTGCATAAACTTTAACCTTAACCTTATATTTTCTCTAGTCACTTTAGGATCCAGCGGGGATGCTGTGTTGACCCAGACGCCCCTCTGGCCATCGTCCCTGGGGAGCAGGTCTCCATCTCCTGCAGGGCCACTCAGAGCCTCCAACATAGTAATGGAAAAACCTATTTGTATTGGTACCTGCAAAAGCCAGGCCAGTCTCCAAGGCGCCTGATCTATTGGGTTTCCAACAGAAATAATGGAGTCCCAGACAGGTTCAGTGGCAGCGGGTCAGGCACAGATTTCACCCTGAAGATCAGCAGGGTGGAGGCTGAGGATGTTGGAGTCTATTACTGCCATCAACGTAGCCATCACCCGCCCACAGTGGTTGAGCCCTAAACAAAAACCACTGTGTTTAGCCACCCCAGCTGCCCACACATGCTGCTTCTCTGGGGAGCAGGCTCAGAGGCTCTGTGTGTGTGGAGAGAAAGATGATGGGGACTCAGGGGACTGACTAAGGCTCAGGGTTCTGTACCCTGGCTGGCCAACAGGCCCTCCCTTTCCTGGCCCTGTGTGCACACATCCTGGGCCTGCACAGCAGCAAGAAGATGCAAGGATTTCTGAGCCCCAGTAAGAACAAAGGGGGTGATGAGTAAGTCACCCTCAGGCTCCCTGTCAGTGTGGTCACATCAGCATGGAGCAGACAAGGGGGAGGGGAGATAGCACAGAATGAATACATGTTGAGATTTTGCAGTTTGGGGTGTATACTTAGTATAATATTTGATTATATTCAGAAATTGATATTTTCCCCTTTTCTCAGCTTCCTACTCCATTTTGTACTTCATGTCCTCACTTGATAAATGTCCTTAGATCACATTGCACACAAAATATCCTCAGGGGGAGTATGTCTGAGAACAATTACTAAAAACATTCATACTTGAGTGCCCACTCAAATTCTATAAATTCATAGCAGATTCAAGATCCCAATGCTATTATACAAAGTCTTTGATCACAATACAATGACCTCTTTTTCAAACAAAGGGTAAAACCTTGTAATTCCAATAGTTAGGTTTCAAAATGAAGATAAAGGGGAAGGTATAAAGCATAGAACTTGTCCCAGATAGCACTGCAAGAACACAGAGGGTATGAGAGTGAAAAAATATATGTTGAACCAAAAGTGCATTCAGGGACTCAATCCTGCTTGGTTCTACTCCTTTCCTGTGCTGTGTGGCCCAGGCTCTGGTGTTGGCTGAGGGTGGTGCATCTGTATCCTGAGGGACAGGGGTGTGTGGTTTGCTTTAGACTCTTGGTCTGACTTGGTGTCAGGGGGATGCTGAACTCACAGAGTGAGTTCGGACATGTCCTCTCAAGATTTTGCAGCACACACACACACACAAACACACATCTGAGCATGTTAACCAAAATGGATCTCTAGTTTGCATGTATCCTGCCTCTGACATCTGAAGTGCCCTGCCTTCCAGAATCTTACAGGACTGTTTACATCTTAGATGTGAGAGGAACAAAATTGATAAGTCAAAAGCAGTGAGAGTGTCTCCATCACAGGTCTGGATGCTTCTGCTCCTCTGGGTTCCAGATGAGAATATTTGCACAATGTTAAAGTGGGAATAGTTTAATCACTGGTCTGTAGGCAATGAGCCCATAGACATTGCTCTAGAACATAGGAAACATCGGCTCTCCAGCGAGAATGTTTGTTTGGAACACGAGACACTATGGAGACTTTTGTTGCCATTTTGGGGAATAACGCAGGTGTCCTGGCATAGAGAGGTAAAATCCAGAATCCTCAGTTTCCCTATTTAGATTCCTTTCCCCTAGGTGTGAATCTCAAGTCATTTAACAAGAGAGAAGGTGACTTGGGAGCTCAAGCAAGGGTGGAAAGGTTATATGAACATTGACATTATATGACATTTCCTATCCTGATTGCCGTATAAAACACAGGGGTTCACCACTCACCCTAAGAAGGAATATTCTTTATGCTTATCAGAGACTCTGTTATCTCCTCCCTTATTGCCCAGGGAGACCAGGGCATGTGCTCGGGTCTGTGTGATGACACAGTGCTGGGGAGGGAGGAGACTGTCAGATGTGGGGGGAGCACACCCTGGCCGTGGGGCCCAAGTGGACCTGGTAGGACAGGGCCTCAGACATGGGTGGACACAAGGCTTTGGTGGAGATGAGGTCAGCAGGGAGGATGCTCAGCGTCTAGGCTCTTACATTCCTCACACCACACTCTGCATTGTCCTCCTGTCTCACTGCATCTTGCTGACAGTGATGATAATTTCTCACACCAACAGTATCAGGGAATCAGAAAACATTGTTTTCTGCCATATGTTTTCTGCCTACAAAATTCAAACTGCACTTTGAAAATCATTTCATTTGACTCTCACCATAACATGCCCATGTCCTTCTCTCAGTACTTTTTATTACCCAGAAGAATTTAAGTGCCTGTATTTGACGATATTTCCATTAAATTGTTCATTCATTTAACACTAATTTTTGTGGCTTGATAAGATCAGCAAGAATGCAGATTTCTATCACAGTCTATGACATTTTTGTTAGTGACTTTCACCATATTTGGAGGAAAAATTGCACTCGTTTACTTATTTTTTTTTAAACTAAATTATTTTTCCCAAGTGAAAATCACATTGTAAGAAGTGATATTTCTGGGCCCCCCTCGTGGCACAAGGGGTTAAGACATAACCTACGAAGCTATTCCCAGCCACTGCAGCACGAATTCGATCCCCAGCCAGGGAGCTACCCACATGGCACAGTAGACCTCTCCTATCTCGTCCGCTGCTCCCCTTAGCAGTGTATTTTAGTGGCTCTGCCTGTTCTGTTCCCCACTCTGTCTCTGGTGAATCCTCTCCCCTCCCCGCACCTCAGGCGTGCACCCCAGTTCTTGTATGCATAAATAAATTAAAAAAAAAAAGAAGTGATATTTCTACACGGAAGCTTTAGGCAGGTACTCACTGTTTGCTCCATTCAATAGATTCAAGATACAAAACATCCGTGGGAGAAATTTGAGTTGTGGGTCTTGATTATATAAACACAAATGTCCAGAAAGGGTGATAAAGAGAACATTGTATAAGTTATTTGTGTTGTTGAAAACATTGTTTTCTGCCATATGCCGCTTGTAGCTGGGAAGTGGCGCCACATCCCAGACACGTGATGCTCCCTCATCTATCCTGGTCATAGTCTACACAACCACCAGGGCCACACTCCATGTGAAGACACCCTCCTTCCCCACTCTAGCTCCAGCACCCCATGCTGGGCACCCCCTCATGCACTCCTGCTGTTCTTCCTATCTACTGTGGGCTGGATACCTTTGAGGGTGTCCACCTCCACCCCTGTGTGGTCTCCTCAACCTGCTGGGTCCTGACATCTTGTACCTGCCTCTGCAAGCTGCTGTCTCCTGGGACCCAGAGGAGACGTGCGATGGGGAAACGTGCAGCTACAGGGACACAGTTGACCCCAGGGATCACTGAGGAGTTGGTCTGGGAGGACGTCATCTCGTAAGGGAGCACCTGGGGGAGGAGGATGAAGGACGTGAGCTACAGTCCAGGGAGACCAGGGCTTGTGCTTTGGTCTGTGTGATGACATAGTGCTGGGGAGGGAGGAGACTGTCAGATGTGGGGGGAGAACACCCTGGCCTTGGGACGAGGTGCATGTGGTGGGCCAGGGCCTCAGACGTGGGGGGGACACAAAGCTTAGGTGGAGATGAGGTCAGCAGGGAGGATGCTCAGTGTCTGGGCTCTTACATTCCTAACACCACGCTCTGCATTATCCTCCTGTCTCACTGCATCTTGCTGACAGTGATGATAATTTCTCACACCAACAGTATAAGGGGAATCAGTGTAGAAGAAGAGTCTTTGGCCTCAATAATAACCATATAATCAAATAAAAGCAGCAGCCTGTATAATTTTTTGAGTATCATACTTGATAGGATCTGTATCATATGGAGAACAGGAAGTGAAACATGCCATAAATGTTGAGGAGAACAAAAGAACACTACACTCATAGGATAGTTCACTGATTCTGTCTTGTGTTCTTCGGACAGAAATGCTTTCTCTGCAGGCAAATTTATGTTGCATCTGTGCTACTGAGATGATCACCGCCTGCGTCTGTGCCCACTGCCCTGTCCCTGCTCATTTGCATGTTCCCAGGGCACAGCCCCTCCCTCCACACTATTCATAGTCTGTCTCAGCCCCTGAGGGTCAATCCAGGCAGGACCCAGCATGGAGCTTAGGGTCCCCCTACGCCCCCCCACCCGCTCAGCTCCTCAGCCTCCTGATGCTCTGGCTCCCAGGTGAGGAAGGAAACACCAGGAGTTGAGCAACCCCGGGTGGGCAGGACCCCTGGCCCTCAGGGAAGTCCTCTGATGACAGGATGACAGTGTGTGTGTTTTCTGTTTCCATCCCAGGGGCCTCGTATGAGATCCAGATGACCCAGTCTCCATCCTCCATGTCTGCATCTCGAGGAGACAGAGTCACCATCTCCTGCCGGGCCAGTCAGGGTGTTAGCACTAATTTACACTGTATGAGCAGAAACCAGGGAAAGCTCCTAAGCCCCTGATCTATGCTGCATCCAGTTTGCAGCCCGGGGTCCCATCCCGCTTCAGTGGCAGTGGGTCTGGGACAGATTTCACTCTCACCATCAGCAGCCTGGAGCCTGAAGATGCTGCCACTTACTTCTGTCCGCAGCGTAAGAGCTTCCCTCCCACAGTAATTAAATCTCTGAAATCTACCAACTTCCTAGACCTCAACCACCACCTGACACTCCAACATTTCTTCCCATCACTCTAATCCTTACCTTTATATCCAAGTACACCTAGTAGGTGACTCCAAGCAAAACTGTGTCATGAAAGATACTGTAAATAAAAGAGACTTCTCTGCAGTCAGAAATCCTGGAGCATCATGGGTCCAGCCCCAGGTAAGGAGTGAACACGGGGAGGAGCACAACTGACTACAACCACCCAGCAGTTCCTATCCCATTGCCTGCCACAGCCACCTCAACATCCTCAGTGCACCCCTGCTTTTCCAGGGCTTTGACTCATAATCTCTGGCCCCTGTATCTCAAACACCAAGTTTTGATAGTCATGGAAATAATGCTGAAACATTCGCTTGTAACAGAAAAAATAGGTAAGATCCAGTAGAATGGAAGTATTCTTTAGGTCAGCGATGCTAAAATATTTGGACCACCAGTGCGCAAGGCGCACAACATATGTCTAATTTGCATTAAAAAAGCAGTAATTACCATTACTCCACATAATGGAACCTGGGATATTCACTTCTACTCTCATGTACCCCAGTTTATTCAATTTTTTTAGCACATGTCATTAAAAATTTTGTCATTACTGGGCCTCCCCGGTGGCGCAGCGGTAGAGCGCTGGATTGCGAAGCTGCCCGCGGCCTCTGCGACGCCGGTTTGATCCTTGGCTGCTCCCCGGCCACCGGAGGAAGCTCCCACATGGCGCGCAGACCTCTCCTGCCGCCCGCTGCTCCCCTCAGCAGTGTACCTCGGTCCTTCTGCCTGCTCTGCTCCCCGCTCTGGCTCTGGTGAATTCTCTCACCCTCCCAGGCTTCTGACTGTACCCAGTGCTTGTATAAACAAAACAAACAAACAAACAAATTAAAATTTAAAAAAATTAAAAAAAAATTTCGTCATTACTAACATTATTTCTTGAGCCAAGATTTCATAAATTCTTCCATTTTACAAATTACTACCATGGAGAACATATTTCTTAGTGTGACATACAGAAAATGATACAGAGAAAAGTTGGAAAAAATTGTACTGGAGCAGGCTCCAAATAAATGGTAATACTTTTTATTGATTCTAGTGTTTAGCTACTATTAGTAAAAAAGTGAAAGATTTTAAAATTGAATAAGAATTAAATAGCAAGAAGAACAGCATAAAACATGGGAATGACAACGCTTTTTAGAAAAGCTTTTGATAATGGGCCTGGGAAAAAATGCAGTGTAAGGTCTGCAGGGTCTTGAAAGTATATCTGAAGAGTTGATCTCAGATCAACCAACTGTGCTTAAGGGACTTGTGACCCAGTTAGTGAGGCGCAGCACTGGGCACTGCCTGTGGATGGAATGCCCCCAAAACACAGTAGCTATAGTTACTTCCACAAATACAGAAACTGAGGCAAAGAGACTGTGAGATGTGGTTGATGTCACATGGCCAGGAAGTGGAGCTCCCAGATGATCTGATTTTAGGTCCTGCTGTGTTAATTGGTCAACAATGGCTATGAGGGAAGCTCTCACTGCTGAATGTGTGTGTAGACATGACTTACGTGGAGTTGCACTGGCAATGTGGTTTCATTGTCATGGAGATCAAGGAAGGGGAAGCAAAAGATTTTACCTGCTTTAGGGAAAAAGCAGCTTTATAAGAATGAGAATTAGAGCCAGAGTATGTGCTAGAACATGCTTGTTATTCTTTGCAAGGAAAGACTTTGGACCCAGCAGTCACGCTCATATGTGTACAATACTAGAAACACTGGGAAACCCCTAGTGAACAGAAGTTTTTCAATAGGCAGCTAGGTCTAGTGAGATGGATGCATCATGAAGAATGAGGGGTGTGGAGATGGCAGGATTGCCCCAGCAGCATACCCCTGCCACTCTAGCTCACCCCCTGTCTCCAGTGTGTCTTCAGGTGTCATGACACTGGGGGCTCAGAGCCTGGTCCCGCTCATCTGTGCGATGGTGACTATCACTGCAAACATGTTGCCAGACCTAACTCAGTGTTTGTGTCTCTATGGATTCCTACAAAGAATGAGGCAAATCATGGGCCCTCAGGAAAGGTCACTGATGAGCAAAAAAAGGTGTGTCAGGAAGATCATTGTTGATAAAGCCCTTAATAAAACCTGATCCAGTCATGCACCAATGGAGATGTCTGGGAATACTGGAGGACAAAGGAGAAATGAGAAAAGGCATCTATTATGTTCAGGCCTGTACCCAACACCCTTATGTGAGCCTGAATATAATGTGAGGATGGCTGCTCAAGTGTAGAGAAGGGGAGGCCTCTGGTCTCCGCAGCTGGAGGCCGGGTTTGCCCTGCCCCACTGCTTTGCATGCCCCCCAGCCCGCCCTGCTGCCCAGAGCCCATATCAGTGCTGGGCAGACTCTGGGCAAGATCTGCCTCAGCCAGGACACAGGGGACCATGGAAGCCCCAGCACAGCTTCTCTGCCTCCTGCTGCTCTGGTTCCCAGGTTGGGGCACCCGGGATGGTTCTGTTCCTCAGAGGACATTTTGGGTTGTGGATTCCCAGGACCTGGCTCTTTGCTCTGCAAGACAATAATGAGAGCTCACTGTTGATCAGCCTTCCTGCTGTGCTGGGAAGACAGTGGTGAAGACAGAGATTACAAGGGTGACTTCTGTGTTTTATTTCCTATTTCAGGTACCACTGGAGAAATTGTGATGACACAGACTCCAGCCTCACTCTCATTGTCTCCAGGAGAAACAGCCAGGATCACCTGCAAGGCCAGTCAGAGTGTTAGCAACTACTTAGCCTGGTACCAGCAGAAACCTGGACAGGCTCCCAGGCTCCTCATCTATCGTGCATCCAGCAGGCCCAGTGAGATCCCAGCCCGGTTCAGTGGCAGCGGGTCTGGGACAGACTTTACTCTCACCATCAGCAGCCTGGAGCCTGAAGATGCTGCCACTTACTACTGTCAGCAGTGGAATAGTTCCCCTCCCACAGTGACACAAGCCTGAACAAAAACCACCCAGGTAGCAGATGTGTGAGGCTGGGCAGCCCCAGCTGCTTCTCCTGCTGCCCCATCTGCTGAGAGCCTGTCTTAGAAGCAGCAATGTTTGAAAGTGACAGTAGGCTTTTCATAGAAGGGCAAGGAGGCTCTTTGGAGTCCTAAGTTTCCACCTTCTGGGCCTTATCAGCACACACAGGACAGAGCCTGTGCTGATTTAATAAACACAAAGATGATTACACCAGGGAACCTGGCAATGGCATCCGTCAAGGCTCATACAGCAGGGGAGGAGCCACTCTAGATAGTCTGAATAAGGGTTTTATTTCTTAGTACATGAAATTTGAATCTAGAACTATAACGTTTTAAAGTCTAAGGAGTGTGAGACTAAGGGAAACAGATGGTAGAAATGGGTGACTCTTGTGCTCCCCTAGAAGTCAAAGCACTTCTGTCATTGATACATAGGTTGCCAAACTGGGTGGGCCTGAGACTTTTCTAGCCCAAGAACCCCAGGAGTGGGGGCTTCTGCTGTCAGTTGCCTGGAGCACATCACCAGGCGACTCTTCCATCCTCACCTCTGTAATATGTCTGCCTCTGGGAGCCCCTAGGAATCAGTGACTCCTCCCCTCCTGACTCAGTCTGGTCACTGAACAACTCCATAAGCCAATCACAGTGTTGAAAATGTGTTTCTAGAAGAGATGGTGATGGCTTGACCACAGAGAGCCATGTAGAGCCACTGTTTCTATTATTCAGAATATTTCTGGTAAGAGATTAGCACCCAGAACACACTTGGATGTGCTCCCGACTGCCGTCAGCAAGACTGGGTCATAGCAAGCAAACAACAACATTAAGTATATTGTAAAAAGAAAATTAGGAATTTGTAGGAAATATATAGTAACCACTTGACAGTCAGGTGAAAACACTTTCTTTACAGAAAAAAATGTAAATGTGTTAGTGGCATTATTTTACCTCTATGTGAAAATACCTTGCTGCTCAAGATTTGTTCAGAATTCATCAACGTCATCACTTTCAGTGATAAGTTGATTGGTACAAACATGAAACTGTAGGCACGCTCTAGACTTACTAAATGAGAATCTGCTTTTAACAGGATGACAGGTGATCAACAATATTAAGGGAGATTTATTTCATCTAAAAAATTGTCTTTGTCAATGAAGTCATTTGTATACTTTTTACTTAAAGTCATTTTTGAAAAGATACACCTAGATTTACTTTGAATTAACACAAAATTATCTTAAACAATACTTTTTCAAGATAATAAAAGATGAAAAATATAACTGTTTGTCAATGACATGATAAAATTCCCTGATCTTTGAAACATGAGGAATTATCAAGATGAAAGACTATGTCAAAACTGGGTACATATACTTGATTTCAAGTCTTACTACCTACTTTAAGGAAGCAGCAGCTTTAGAGGAATGAGAATTAACACCAGAACATATGATCCAAAGAGCTGCTCAGTCTTTATAAAGAAAGACTTTGGGTCCAGCAGCAACCCCCACATGTGCACAATCTGAGAAACACTATGAAAGTCCAATTGGATTCCATCTCAATCAGGCCTGTAAACAGAAGTTTTTCAATTGTTTAAGAACAGGGAGCTGGGTATGGTGGGATAGAAGCTCCATGTAGACTGCATAGGGGGCTGGGGGAGGGTCCAAGGGATTGCCCTAGCAGTAGATGTGCCGGGCTCTGAGCAGCACCCTCTGTCTAAAGTGGAAGGTGTCAATACACTGGGGACTCTAGCCTGGTTCTGCTCATCTGTGCGATGGTGACTATCCCTACACCTATGTTGTTGGACCTAACTCAGTGTTTGTGTCATTATTGATTCCTACAAAGAATGAGGCAAATCAAAGGCCCTCAGGAAAGGTCATTGATGAGCAGAGGAAAGGTGTGTCAGGATGATCATGACTAACAAGCTCCTCAATCCAACCCAATCCAGGCATGCACCAAGGGAGATGTCCAGACATACTGGGGGACAAAGGAGAAATGAGGAACAGACATCTATTTTGTTCAGGCCTGTACCAAACACCCTTATGTGAACCTGGGATATAATGTGAGGGTGGCTGCTCAAGTGTAGAGAAGGGGAGACCTCTAGTCTCTGCAGCTGGGGCCCTGCTCCCCCACCCCTGCTGCTTTGCATGCCTCCTAGCTTGCCCTGCTGCCAGGAGCCCATATCAGTGCTGGGCAGGCTCTGGGCAAGATCTGCCTCAGCCAGGACACAGGGGACCATGGAAGCCCCAGTGCAGCTTCTCTGCCTCCTGTGCTCCTGCTCCCACATGGGGACATCCAGGATGGTTCTGCTCTCCAGAGGACACTTGGGTTGTGGATTCCCAAGACCTGGCTCTTTGCTCTGCAAGCACGATAATAAAAGGTGTGGGTCATCAGACAACCTGGTTCTGCTAGGAAGACAGCGAAGATAGGGTTTACAAGGGTGACTTGTGTGTTTTCTTTCCTATTTCAGGTACCACTGGAGAAATCATAATGACACAGTCTCCATCCTCCCTATCATTGTCTCGAGGAGAAAGGGCCACGATCTCTTGCAGGGTCAGCCAAAATATTTATAACTACTTAGCCTGGTACCAGCAGAAACCTGGACAGTCTCCCAGGATCCTCATCTATGTTACAACCAGCAGACCCAGGGACATCCCAGCCTGCTTCAGTGGCAGCGGGTCTGGGAGAGACTATACTCTCACCATCAGCAGCCTGGAGCCTGAAGATGCTGCCACTTACTACTGTCAGCAGAGTAAGAGCTCCCCTCCTACAGTGACACAAACCTAAACAAAAACCATCCAGGGAGCAGATGTGTGAGGTTGAGCCTGTCTCAAAAACAGCCAAGCTTTGAATGTGACAGTAAAGTTTTGGTGAAGGGGCAGGAGGCTCCTGGGAATCCTTAGCATGATGTTCAGATGTAATTAAATCTCTAAAATCGACCAGCTCTCTAACCCTCAATCACTACCCAAGAGTCCAACATTTTTTCCCATCCTCTAGTCCTAAGCTTTCCATCCCACTTCATCTAGTAGATGACGCCAAGCAAAACTGTGTCATGAAAGATACTGTGAATAAAAGAGACTTCTCTGTAGTCAGAGATCCTGGAGCATCATGGGTCCAGTCCTAGGTGAGGTGTGAGCACGGGAGGAGCACGGCTGACTGTAACCACCCAGCAGTTCCTATCCTATTGCCCACCACAGCCACCTCAATATCCTCAGTACACCCCTGCTTTTCCAGGGCTTTGACTCAGTACATCTTTGCTGCCTGTATCTCAAACACCAGGTTTTGATAGTCATGGAAATAATGCTGAACTTTTGTTCATAATAGGAAAAATCAGTAAGATCTAGTATAATGGAAGGATTCTTTAGTGATGCTAAAATATTTGGATCACCTGTACATTATGTAATCAATGTAGTCCTAATAAATAGGGAAAAAGAATAATAACTGTTACTTCACATAATGGAACCTGGGATTTTCAATTCTAATCTCATTTACCCTAGTTTTTTTGATTATGCAAGTATATGTTTTTGAAAAATTTGGCCATTACTTCTTGATGTATATTGCAACATTGTCCAATTTTACATATTACTACCATAGAGAACATACTTCTTAGTGTGACATATTGAATATTATGTAGAGAAAAGTTTGAAAGCAATGTACTGGGGTAGGCCCCAGATGAATGATGAAAATTATTATTGATTAAAATTGTTTGGCTACATTTTAGAGAAAAAGTGAGAGTAAAAGTTGAGTAAGAATTAAATAGCAGGAAAGACAGCAATATAACATGTGAATGACAAAGCCTTTCCTAGGAAGGCTTTTGATAATGGGCCCTGGGAGGAAATGCAGTATAAAGTCTGCAGGGTTATGAATAGTGCTTTTGAGCGATACAGCTCAGGTCATTGAATTAATTTGAGGGACTTGTGACCCTGTTAGTGAAAGGAAACACTGGGCCCTGTCTACTGATGTAATGATCGCCGAACATACATAAATGGAGTAGCTACAGTTATTTCCACAAATATGGAAACTGAAAAAGAAGATGATGAAGCATGATTGACATCATACAGCCAGTATATAGCGCTCCCAGATGAACTGTTTTTGGGACTTGCCATGTTAACAGGTTGACGATGTCTGTTGGGGAAGCTGTCACTCCTGAATGTGTGTGTAGAGGTGACTTGTCAGGTGGAGTTTCTTTAGCAAAGTATTTCATGGTCATGGAGATCAACAAAGGGGAGCAAAAGAGTTTACCTGCTTTAGGGAAGCAGCAGCTTTAGTGGAATGAGAATTAGTGCCAGAGCATGTGACCCAAGTTGCTGCTCAGTCCTCAGGAAGAAAGATTTTGGACATGGCAATTACCTCCACATGTGCACAATTCTGAGAAACACTGGGAACCCGGATGGATTCCATTTCTATCAGGCAAATAAACAGAAGTTTCTCAATTGTTTGATAACATGGAGCCCTATGGTAAAATGAGGCTCTGTTCTGAATAGGGGCCATGGAGACAGCAGGATCCCCTGAGCGGTGGACCCACCTACTCTCAGCAGCAACCCCTATCTTCATGGAACTGGTGTCAGCACGTTGCGGGCTCAGAGCCTGGTCCTGCTCATCCGTGCAATGATCACTGTCCCTGGACCCATGTTCCTGGACCTAACTCTGTGTGTTTTTGTAGATTCCTACAAAGAATGAGGTAAATCGAGGGCCCTCAGGAAAAGTCACTGATGAGCAGAGGAAAGGTGTGTCAGGAAGATCATTGATGGTAATCTCCTCAATCCAACCTGATCTGGTCATAAACCAAGGGAGATGTCTAGACATATTGGGGAACAGGGAAGAGATGGGACAAAGTCATCTGTTATGTTCAGGCCTGTACAAAACTCCCTCCATGTGAAGCTGGGATATAATGTGAGGGTGGCTACTCAAGTGTAGAGAAGGGGAGGCCTCTGGTCTCTGCAGCTGGGGGCTGGGTTTGCCCCACCCCCACTGCTTTGCATGCCCCCCAGGCTGCCCTGAGCC